TTTCTCTCTGGCTCACTCCGTCACGAGACCCCTCCCTTCCACCTCTCAATGTTCCCTGGCGCACCCCCACCACAAAAATAGGTTTCGAGGGTGTACCCATCACGTAGCTAACCGGGATATTAATGTGGCTGAATCTTGATTGACATTTGGCCCAAACACAGCTATCATGACAACGCTTTCTATTCGGGGGAATATGGTATGTTAACTGGTTCTCGTCCTCACATGTCTAACCCCTTCGAAGCCTTCGTCCAAGAGAACACTCCTGTAAGGGTCGGGACGGTACTGCAAGGACTTGAGTCTGGGGCTTGTGACAGCCAGGGCTTTCACACCCTAGATGCTCTAGCGCAGGACACGAATGGCGTCACCGACTTGGCGGAAGCCGGTAGGTAGGTTAATTGCTTCTCCTCCTGATATACGTAGCCAGCCTCATATGCTTCGTCCGAGAGGACGTCCCTGTAATTGGTCGCGACGGTACTGGAAAGACTTCAGTGTGGGGCTTGTGACAGCCAACAGTCAGGTGGTCGTCGACACCCCTGGAGAGAAAAAGGGTATTTTAGAACCCAGCAAAGGCGAGATGCTCTAGTAGGAAAGCCGACAGATCCCCCTGCTTGTAAACCATGGCCCCACTAACTGGGCGAAGCAAGCAGGTAGATCAATAGGTTTTCCTCCTCACTGGTCGTCTAACCTGTGCTCTCAGGCTTCGTCCAATCCAAGAGGATGTCCCTGTGGTAATAGTCGGGATGGTACTCGAACGACTTGAGTCTGGGGCTTGTGACGGAGCGGAGCTCTCCACACCGTAGATGCTCAAGCGAAGGACACAAATCCCCCAGCTCACCCAGAGCTGTTTACAAAAAAAAAAAAAAAAAAAAAAAAAAAAAAAGATCGCCTCACTAACCTGGCGGAAGCCGGTAGGTTAATAGCTTCCCCTCCTCACATGTGTCACCTGGTAGTAGGCTTCGTCCAAGAGGACGTCCTTGTAATGGTCGGGACGGTACTCGAACGACTTGGGTCTGGGGCTTGTGACAGCCAGGTGCTCGATACCTTTCCAGAAGGGTATTCGAGAACCAGCTATGGCGAGATGCTCGAGCGAAGGACACAGATCCCCCAGCTTGTACACGATGGTATCAGTTACTTGGGCGAATCCTGTCAATCTGAGAGAGACGAGATTGGGGCAGGAGCTGAGGAAAACGAGAAATCCTTCCTCGAAGTCGCCGAAAAGCGCTCTCGGGTCGCAATAGAGATGAAGGCTGCGTAAGGACCGACCCACTGCAGAGAGGCAACGAAGGAAAGGACCACAGCACTGCCAGGCGGGAAGACGAGGCTCCCAATCTATACCATACTCACAACCAAACAAACAATCGTTCCTCATGTTGCTGCTCCGCAATCCCCCTCTCTCAGGCAGAGCGCCGCTCAGCCGCGTCGATAGGACCTCCGAAAGTGCGTCCTTTGGCGCCGCCACCGCTTGTGCCCACATAAATTCCATGCACTCCGCTTGCTGCACATCTACCAACGGATCAAAGATGCGCAAAGCCATCTCTTCCAGATGGGGATGGCGCTCAAGAATGACCTCTAAACTTCTCAAAGATTCCAACGAAGGTAAGGCAGAGAGTCTTTCCCCTCCTGCTCTTCCTCCTCCTCCTCCTCCGACTAAAGTTCCGTACAGCAGAAGCTTCACAAGTCCTGGTGTGTTCGTTCCCATCCCAGTGCCCGCAAGAGAAGACAAGGCGTTGTGTGTGACGCTGGTCTCGTCGAAACACAGCTCCCGCAACTGCCGCCCAGCTTCAGCCGCCACAACCCTAACCGATTCGTCGGTGACGTATCTACACCGAGATGCGCTAAGTATTCGCAGGTGAGAGCAATTCCTCACCGCTGCAGCGATACCCCAGTCGGACACCCGCGTCCCGCTCACGTCGAGTTTCGTTAAGCCGAAACACTCTGTCACTGCCGCCTCCAGCTGCGAGTCGCCGAAGTAGACGCTATCTATCGCGCACAGAGATGTCAGCTGAGGACGTGCAGTGCAACGGAAATAGGAATGCCATATGTCTATGTTACCCCACTCGTCTCCCGAAGTCAGAGACAAAGAAGATAACAGAGGGCAGCTCCCATCTTGTAAGGCATCGAAGGCCAGCAGCGGCAAACTGCAGAGAGAGAGGTTTCGCAGTTGCTGGCATCCCGAAAGGGCGCGGATGGCGGAGCACTCCTGCTCATCATATCTGCTTCCGATAAGAGACAGATCGGTCAATCCAGTGCATCCTTCGACTAAGCCAGTCATCGAGGTGTCCGTCAGAAAGCCGTCGCTGCCGCGAGCTGATGTGAGATGAAGCGTCTTCAAATTTGGACATCTCTTGGCGATGCTCAGGACTGACAATCCGACAGCGGTATGATGAGCAGTAAAATAATCTAATGAGAGATCAATATCATAATTTCCATGCTTTAGCCGGCCAGAGGCAGCCGCCGCCGCCGCCGCCGTCGTCGTAGCAACAGGATCCACTCCGTTATCGCCTTGCCCTCCTTCTTCCTGTTCATTACCTCCCCGCATCTGGCGACCGGCCTGCTCCTCTTCGCCGCTCGATGAAGATGAGCTGGATGAATATGAAGAACCGTCATCATCTTCATCTTCATCGTCAGTGGCTGGAGGAGGAGGAGGAGGTATGGAATAAACGGCGCCGCGAGGGCGACCAGGCGGCGACAGCCACCTACTAAAGACTGAGAAGACGGTCACAAGATCCTCCTCCTCGTCGTCACCAACGTCACTCACGACCTCCACCCCTTTTCCTCTTTCTTCTTCGTCATCTCCTACTGGATCGCTTTCCGCAGAACCTTCATCACCCTGCCGCTCTTCTCTTTCCCCTTGTCCTCATCCTCCGAGCAACCACGCAAGAGCACAGGTTGAATCGGCGGAGAATGAAATATGGGGGCAAGGGGATTGAGAATCCTGTAAGGGAGCAGTTCCATCCACACGACGGAATGACTCTCGTCGCCGGAGGCGGACGTTGTGAGGAGAGAAGAGGAAATTCGTCGATCAGGAATAAGAGAGTAAGGGGAGTGAGGGTGAGGTCGGCAAAAGGCCGATCGACTAAAAGAGTCCGGCAAGGTGATGTCGCCAATCTTCAAGTGTTCTAATTGCGGACATGATCTTAGCAAATGATCAATCCGCCGCTGGTTAAGGGAACCGAACACAGACCAAAGTTCTAGACGCTTGAGGTTCGTCTGCCCAGCACAAACAGCCATCATCCCCTTCGTTGTGCAATACTGAAGGATCAACGTCTCCACCTGCCCTCTGCTGAGCTCACCCAGCTTCTTCAACATAGCATCCGCACGGCCGGGGATGGACCGACCACCGATAATGAGGGGTTTTCTCCACCTCGTGTCGTGTAGCAAAAGCCCTTGCCTCTCCGCCCACTCCCTCGTGTCAATCTCTCGAAAACATTGCGGCTGCCGCGCCACCCTCATCCACTGACGACATACACAGGGTGCGGTGAAGATTCTGTCATTGAATGGAAGCTTCGTCAGAATATTCCGTAGCAAATCGTCTCCCAGCGTTCCCAGTTCCATTTCACCACGCCACTTCTGCTTAACCTTGAGCCTTCCCCCCCCCCCCCCCCCCCCCCCCCCCCAAAAAAAAAAAAAAACAGAAAGTATGGCAACGTCGGCCCTCATTTGACAATTATGAACTTAGAAAACATGGGACACAGATTCGGGATCCTTTCAGGTGGGGGAGTGACATCCAACCTGAACCCCCCCCCCCCCCCCAAAACACTTTCCCCCCCCCCCCCTCTCTCTTTCCCTGGCCTCACAAGTCTCCTCCACTGCCATTACCTGAAAAATACCTTTGGCAGGCCTCACCTTACACATGCCGCTCTTCACCTCCGGGAGGAGCCGATCGAGCACAAATTTGAGAACCCCCCCCCTGTCTATTGTAGAATACACGAGAAGGCTAAAACTCCCGATCTATTCTAGAAAAGGCATTTTCACACACGAAAAACTCCCTCTCCCTATCAAGATAACCATCTGGATTCTGACGACACAGCACCACGTGTCCAGACCAAAACTCAGGACGCAAGCGCACAAGCGCCTATACCTTTCTTCCTTCCTCGAGGAGGTTGGCGGGAGAGATTATAGTAGAGAGGGGGATCAAGATTTCTTACACGCAAAATAGCCGCAGCTTGCTTCTGAAGACGGCCAACTTAAAGGAGAAAAGGAAGAAGAAAAAAAAGGAAAGACGGCCGAATTTTTCAATTGGTTAAAAAGGACAAGTAATTGGGTACACAGCACCTCGTGTCAAGAGCAGAACTCATCACAGGCGGACAATCCTCGAGAGGCTAAGTGGCTTCTTGTCCACACATTCCGCTCTGGTCTCGCCAGGGCGTCACGTGTCCCCACCACCTTCCTTAAATCTGCACAGGCGATTGCTGCCTTGACTCCGCGGGGCGAACCTCATGACTTTTTTTTTTTTTTTTTTTTTTTGAATCTNTCTCTCTCTCTCTCTCTCTCTCTCTCTCTCTCTCTCTCTCTCTCTCTCTCTCTCTCTCTCTCTCTATGTCTGTGTGTGTGTGTGTGTGTGTGTGTGTGTGTGTGTGTGTGTGTGTGTTTGTGTGTGTGTCTGTCTGTGCGCGCAAATATTTGGGCACATATACGTTCGGATCTGCAGAGCGGCTCTCTGTTCGTCGTGCAGGGCGACCCCGAGAGGGAAGTAGCGATAGATATTTTTACTCACTGATCAGAAAAAACACTACGTGCGAAGCACTTCTAGAGCGACTTTCAGTCTCGGTCTCCCTTCTAAGATCAAGTGTAGTATCTGTTCTGATCAGTTTAAAAAAACAAAAAAAAATCTCGGTCTTCCGGTGCGACCGAGTTACAGCAGGTCACTATCTGTTTCCGTCATCCAGCTCCTGCTTGATGAGAGTGCATCTATCTTCCTTCTCCTCCCCCACAGGCCAACTGGCCGATCCTGCATCACATTCGACTGTTTGTCAGTGCTGGACGGGACCATTTCTGGGAAAAGTCATAAAACCTCCCCGCGACGAAACCTTTGTATCCATTTCCTCCCAAACGGGGAGAAAAGTGCCGCACATCCCAAAATCACTCTTGGGGTCATTTTAGCACCCTGGCCGGGCGCGTAACCGCCGCTGAGTAAAAATGGCGGGAAAGTGTTTTGCAGGGCGCAAAAATGACGCGGAAAGTGATTTTGGGGCCTGCCGCATATTTTCCCCCGTTTGGCGGGAAATGGATACAAAGGTTTCCTCACGGGTAGGTTTTACGACTTTTCCCTATATTTCTTCTTCCACTGTAACCCATGACTCCCGATGGCGCCTCTCTCTCTCTCTCTCTCTCTCTCTCTCTCTCTCTCTCTCTCTCTCTCTCTCTCACACTCTCTCACTCACAGTAGTCCAGTAATCAATCTGGCCATCAGAGGAGATCCCATGACGCAAACAAGCCCTTTTCACACTGCAATTACAAGGCACACTGCACTGTACTCCAGTAATCAATCTGACCATCAGAGGAGATCCCACGACTCTTTCGGCTCGGTAATCACAGACCCTGCCAGACGCAAACAAGCCCTTTTCACACTGCAATTACAACGCACAATCCACGTGGACAACTGGGTCGGACTCCCGAATGTGTAGACGACACATGGAAAAATGGCACCGCGTTGTCCATCGATCTTCTCTCATCGCTTCTGCTCCCCATTCCGTGCAGTTCGATCAATCAATGGACTGACTTCTAATCGTGTTGATGGAGCTGACATCCCGTCCCGTTCCCCATGCCCATCAATGGAGGGAAAACAGAAAGAAACATCGGAAACAGCTCGGTTCATCAACTCCAGCGCGCGGGCTCGGTCCCACCTGCGCATTTTCATTCTAGGAGGCTCCACCACGAAGAGACTGGCAGCTGTCTAGGGCCCATCGATTTTGTCAATCCATGGTCCTTAGGCGCCCGCCATTCTGATCGTGGTAGCCTCCTAGAACCAAAATGCGCAGATGGGACCAAGTTCCGGGGGCTTGGATAGGAATGCTCAGGGCTGATTGGCCCAACGGGGGAGTCGAGAGTCCTGGTGGCGAGATAGAGCATACTCACACTAGCACCTTTTAAATGTATCTGAACGCAATTACGGCCACACAGCCAGAGATTAGTCGAAAGGGTCTTAGTGTGAGTGAGTGCCCTTAGCGCCTGCTTCGTCGTCACCATAGCCAACGCTCGCCAGGAGCTTTGGGTGAGAAAGCAGCCGTAAGGGTATGCCGGTAGTTTTCCTGAGATAGGGCCTACCCCGGTAGTTGCAATTCTCCCCACCCGCCAACATTTTGAATGCATCTGGTCTGAGATACGTCCGGAAACATTCGGAATGTTGGCGGATGGCGAGGAGTACAACTATTCTCATATCGTCGAACTTGCTCTCAATTTCACGTCTCTAAATTTCACTTCTCTTTGGGATTGCAATTTGTGAAAAAAAAATAAAAAAAAAATCACTTCTCTCAACTTCACCTCACATTCAGCGGCCTAGCTCAGATTGGTAAGGCACGCAAGTGGCATTCAGGAGGTCCTGGGTTCAATCCCCATTAGCCTCATGTACCTTCCTGGTGACTGGTCCTTCGACCCTTCAAAGAAGCTCGGTCCGCTGACACCTGGCCGCTACTGCCCTCAAGCTGGATTCTGATGCTACCGGCTGACACCTGGCCCGTATCCCCGACAAACTCGGTCCTGATGCTACAGGCTGACACCTGGCCGGTATCGCCCACCTGCTGTAGCAGGTATCCCACCTGCTGGTGGTTGGAGCTCCCGAATGTTCCCTCGTTGGAGGCTTGAGCACGGATGTGGCTGCTACCGAGTTCCCCGTAATACTGTAATGACAATAAGGGCCTCCCCACACCAGTGGGCCTGGCCACACCAGCAGTATAGAAACCGTGAAATATTTAATGACAATAAGGGCCTCCCGGCCACACCAGTGTAGAACAGTGAAATGTTCGCCAGCTGTCAGACCATTTTCGACATTCACTATAAGGGCCTCGCCACACTGTGACGCCCAACCTCACGCCCAGTGCAACTTCCAGTTTTCGGAGTGTTAGTAGGCCCGGAAGTGCCAAAAGGGGTGTGCCAAGGATTTTTGGAAACTGGTGGTGGAGTTCCAGGTCAGAAATGGAATCTACGGTGTCGAGATTTCAGGGGTAGGCTTGTAAGTGTCTTTTTCGGCTCTGAGCGGGGGTGATTGCCTATCCCGCGGTCGGGGGCGCGTCGAGTGTGCGGGCGGAGTGTCTCGGGCGTCCTGATGCTCATACCGTTGTCAACCGTCGCAAGTCTCAGAGTCTGATGAGGACGCGCTGTGTTCTCATTGCTCTGTCCCTGGGTGGGATCGTCGCGTGACCCTCGCCTGCCGAAACTCGCTGGGCTGCCGACACTCTAAGGACAGCGGATGAGGCCAGAACCGGGCTATGGAATCCCAGGGGACCACAAGCAACCGGTGGTATGGGAGGATGGTGTAGTAGGGAGGGAAGTCAGTGGTGATAGCAACGAAGCCTGGGGTTAGAAAATACTCCTGGTTCCGGCTGTAGGGATAATCGGGAATTCGTGGGTCTCGGTTAATGGCCAGCTGGAAATCGCCCCTACACAGTCGCTCGTTTTCAGTTCGGCATGGGTACTCAAAGTACCCAGGGTTCGGTAAGCGGCGCTGCTGTCGGATCTCTGCCGTCGGATCTGTTCTCTTTCCCTGTATGCTCGTTATTCAAGGTCCCTCAGGCTGTCACGATCGGTCATCCAGATGGGAGTTCCATCCGCCATATTCTACTCATCGGAACTTAGGCACGCACATCTTTCTCCGGGGCGAGATCATAACTGGCTTTTGCAGGCGCACGTGTAGATGGCAAGTCCGCGGACGGGCTGCTGCCTTACGCGTGCATGCCCACTGACCAGTTGATCAGATCATAAACTGCGCAAATGAAAATAAGGAACGATATATTAGCGCATTGGTTCAACCATGCAACCGGTTCCCGTCAGGCACCTCATTCCCGGGACAAGCTAGTTCCAGTCATGCCATCAGACATGAAGGAAGAAAGACTATGGGTCATTCATACGCATACATCCAGCAGTTCCCGTAATCACTGAAAGATCAAAAGTAGGAGAGTGGGCGCCATGCGCCATGGACGCCTCCGGCGAGATCCGGGCAGAGCAGAATTTGCAGACGGACACATATGCCTCAACGATGGGTCCTAGAAACTGACAAAATTTGAATTAAGTTGAAACTACTGACCAAAAAGACAACTCGAAAGAAAGGATGTGAGCTCATTCATCATCATTCATACATACATACACACAACAAAAAGTCCGAGATGATTCACTCAAGAAGTCTGAAAATGCCGCAACAAAATTGATCAACATTGAAATCAAAATTTACACAGACAGGAGGGGGGGAAGGACACTGTTCCACCATATCCTGGTCTCTCTCTCTCTCTCTCCATCCTCTCTCTCTCTCTCTCTCTCTCTCTCTCTCTCTCTCTCTCTCTCTCTCTCTCTCTCTCTCTCTC